ATTTTAACGAAAACTACGGCTGGACCTTTATTATCAACATGTTTATGAAACGATTCAAAGGTAAAGCCATCTCTTGATGCTCTATATATCAAACGAAGTCGATATGGAACATGTATTCCTTTATCTTTAATTCTGAAATCTTTTATATCAAAATATGTCGGTATTGAGAACGACGGACCCGATGAAGATTGTGGATTTTTACGATTAATCCAACTTGCAATCAACATTGCATGATTATATGAAATGATTTCGGAATCAATATTTTTTTGTAAAATTCTTGGTTCAAGTAGTGGAACATGTTTTGGTGGTTCTTTTGTAAGATAAAACGATAATAATTCTTCTTTAAGGTCTTTATGTAATATTTGTTCAAACGGCCAAACTCTATGATAAAAATCTTTAGATGTTATTTGGAATAGTCTTACAAGTGGAAGCAAATTACGTAATGTCGTTCCTAATAGTGTGAAATCTTCAAATGTCCATTTCGAAATATCTCGCTCGAGAATTGATGGTGTATGTTCAATACCCCAGTTTATTACGAAATTCCATATATCCTAACAATGAAATGTATTAAAAACACAAATGATATAAAAATATCACCTGGTTTTGATATTTAAACATTATTATAAATATGACTTATATATGACTTACAATTTCTTCAACACTAAAGTCATCGCGCTTTAAAAGCGATATCAAGATCATTTCATCAATTGAAATGAATTCTTCTGATTGAAATAGTGCCCATGCATTTTCATTAACGAGACCAAAACAAAAATTTTGTAAACTTACACAGGCATCATGTCTGAAAGCAATTTGTAAGACATGCACGAGGTTTTGTCTCACCCACTCAGCTTTGTGTTCAATTAGATATTCTTGAGAATAATTAAATAATTCATGAAGAAATAATTCATCTGATGCAGCAATAAAATCTAGTATCTCAGAACCCTCAAGTTGCTTTAATGAAGCTTTTCCACCATATATATATCTGATTTCATATAGGATATTATTTGTTATTTATTTTAAAAAAGAATTTTACGAGACATTTTAAGATAAATCTTTGAAATATTTAACCTTAAAATTATTTCAAATACTGTGCAAGATATGTTTGACTTTTTAAAGACAAACTTGTCATCTTCTTTTCTCACCCATTCATTCGAGAGGGCTGCTCGAAAATAAGAACATCTAGCACGCAAAATTACAGAATGTGTTTTAAATATTTTTATATTGGGTTCTTCTCCAATTTCAAGTAATACATTATAATCATCAGGTTGATCAAAAAGGTGCGAAAAATCTTCTGATAAAGTCGCAAAAAATTCTTTAGTCATTTTAAATAATTTAAATTTAAAAATATTTTAAAAATATTTGAAAGAGAGTTTTAAGGATTTATTTAGTTTGCGTTCTTTTATAATACTGTAATAGTTTTTGTGAACATGATACCAAATTTGTTCAGGTCGGAATGCCCAAAAACGCAAATCATTCCAAAATTTTTTGGTCACACTCTTGGTTTTATTGGTTAAAGACCACAATTATGTCTTGTGATATTTATTAATGATACGTAAGACCATATCGATGTAAAGTAGATTCATATCGATATAAGGTCGGTTGAAATAATATCCCTTTACGAAGTTTAAGTGCAGAGGGAGAAGGAGGTCTATTTAAACAATCATTTACAATGATAATCCTGTTATTATTGCAATCTCAGAACAAAATTTTTTGGTTGGCTTGCTTAACTCCAGGAAAGCTTATATAAGTTAAAAACATATAGTCGTCGCCTAAACGATCCCATATATTCAAAATATAAGCTTCATTTGATGAGATTTATTTTTCACCTTTCGAACAAATTCTGGTATAAAAAAAAAAAATTTTAATGAGTAATATAGATGTTCAGTACTTAGTTGACTGATACAGAAAAATGAAAAAAAAATATTAACTCAAATTGAGAATATAAATGCCGAACAAGTTGAACTAATCGTAGGCTCACAACAGGCATTCTTTCTTAAGAAAAGAGAGTTAAGAGTGGTTACTAACTGGTTAGTTCTACTAGGTCAACGTGTCTCTTATTTAAAGTTACACGATCACCTTATCTGTTGCAGTTTTCCTGTTTCTTCAAAAAAAATGGGATGCCCAAATCTTCTTAATAAATTAAGTATATTTCAGCAATGTTGTAAAATCTTTGATTGTTCTATAAAAATATAATAGTTTGAAGGGCCACTGGTTCTCAATAAGCAACGATTATAATGCTTCGTTGAAAACATATAAAGAACATAAGTTACTTTGCAGCATGGTCAACAATTGGGGCTTAAATATGATCCTGACAATTCCATAATTGTGACGAGGGTATTTCATGGTTCAGGAGTTCGATCTCGTATATCAGCGAAAGACATTATGATACAAAAATAATATAACCTAAAAAATTACATACTATCAGTTGCACAGACGAACAAGCTTAAAAATCGGGACAAGGCAGGGAGAAAGGAATGGTTAACATCAACTTTTAAGAATACTGGTACTCGTTATGGTTTTGTGTTCTGTAATGTAGGAGAAATCAATGTTTTTGACGAATATTAAAAGAGAAAGCTTTTTATCTAAAGGTCCTCAAGAGAGATATGAGAAAAATTTGCGTTTGGCAAAATAACATGTCGATTCATACGGTCACGATAGTTAAAAGACGTTTACAAGAAAAAAAATAAAAAGGTGAATTAGCAACACCTTTCTCATTTAATTCTATAGAAAATGCCTGAAAATTGAAGGTGGGTTAGTCGTGTCATAAAAATGTCGCGGTCTCATGACAACCGACCTCTTCCGACCCAAAAATTCAGATTACGCATTACATTAAAAACATTAGTAGTTCTTTAAATTTACATAATTCTAACTTTTAGTATTTTAAATGTAATGCGTTTTGAATTATTGCGTCTGAAGAGGTCATGATCACGAGACCGCGACATTTTTATGGCACGACTAACCTACCTGAAAATAGACAAAAGACAATATCCAGAGTACTAAAATTTTTCAAGGTCCGTGGTGAAATGACCTAAATTCGATACATCAATTTCTGGAGCAGATTGTAGGCCAAAAATATTATATTTTTTAATTTAGAAATATAAAATTTTTCACTACAATAAATATACATTCTTTAGCATTTAACAAACCTTTGTGTAAAATTTGAGTAGCAGATAAAAATATCTTAAAGTTGATAGCTTTTACTAATTTTCTCAAACTTCTGATTTAGTTAATCAGGAAACAAGATTAGGTATAATAATAAAAACGATCATATTTTTCTGAAAAAACATATTAATCTCAAAATTTTGTCTAAAGAAACCACTTTCTGTATACTAACAAGAAAATCTCTGTTTACTATCCCTATCACCAACACTAACATGATGTTATATTTTATGTCGACATGTGGGTTGTTGCATAACAATACCATGCCTAGAGTATATATATTTTATATGTTCTAAGCATGGTTTTGCCGTGCAACAACTCATATGTTTTAGACTAAACTATTAGGACAGTGTTGTCACTGGAAGTAACATTAATAGTGTCACTGGAAAGTTTACACCACTGGAAGGAAAATTAACAACACTGATTTAGGACGTCCCAAACCATGTGATAATTAGTATCATTTTGTTTCTGAAATAAGAACGAAAATAAGCTGAAATAATGTTTTACTAATTATCACATGGCTTGGGACGTCCCAAATAGTTTGGGTCACATCTAGTTTAAACAACAAAAACATGAGGGATTAGTGAAAAATTACAGGGTAATTGCATTCATATGACTGACATATCGACATACGCGCAAATTTAACTATGATGCCACTAACTCTAACACTCTTATCATAGGCTTTCACTTTAAATATTAATGAAACTCGGTATCTAATAATAATCCGAAGCAAATTTTAATTTGACGTCAACATATATAAGGGTCAGTCACTAATATGGTCCAGTTTTGTGATAGTCTGTAGTCTTAAGAGTTAAGACCAGACTGGTCCGGACTAGAGTTGCAGGTGAAACTGGTGAAACTAAATATAATAGCCAATAAGAAATTCTGGTTGAAACTATGGTGGAACTCAAAATTGGTTTAACCTACAATTCTAGTCCAGACCGGTCTGGTCTTAAGACTAAGTCCAGATCAATTTTTGTTTAAGTAGAGATAACAAATAATGAAATAGTGGATGTTTATGTTGTTCCCAAAAATAAATAACCCGTCATTTCACCGTGTATAATGTTACAAATAAATAAACCGTCATTTCAACTAGTGATTAAGCCGCATGATTTTAGTTGGCTGGTTAAGCCAGCCAACCAAAAATATCAGCTAAGGGTTAATACGTAGTGGCTAGCTACAGAATGGTTAGTCATACAACCAAAATCTAGCAAACTGACCAAAATTTCAGATTAAAATGACAAAATTTACCTAAAATTACTTGAAATTCTACCAATAAACAGTAGATTATGTACTAAATCAATTGTCTAAACGTCATTTTGTTACGTATAATATAGTTAGTTCTTAATGCCGGCCTAGCTCTAATGTGTTTGACTTTAAATTTGGTTTATATAGTATAAAAAAAAATATTTAGCCCTTAGCCATATCGATATTAGCCAGCCGATAGCTTTATATTGGCTGGCTTAACCAGCTAAGCCAGCTCAGCCAGGACTGCTTCAGCCGGCTTAAAACACTAATTTCAACGTGTAATGTTACACAGTATGTCCACTTTTTTTTTTTATAATTTGTGTATGTCACGTACGTACGTCTAATGCATACATCCATCCATCCATCCATCCTACTGGAATTTGCATTGATGAGTAAGTTAATAATTCAATTAAATATATATTAAGCTTGTCAAGGATGACCAACAAAAACAATTGTCCAATTACTGCATGAAAATATTGTTTTATGATCTAAAATAATGCCTGAGACTTTAAATTTCGTATATTATTACCGATGTCTCCAAGAAAATATTTTTAAATCTGTTCTTTATTTATTATATTAGGTTCTTTGTCACAATGAAATCGTCTTAGTATTAAGCTATTTGTGCATAAATACAAAACCATGAGAAAAGCTAAATGAGCAAGCTTTTGATTCAAAGAAATTTAATGTGTATTATTTAAGGTGAACTATTAATTTTAGGCTGAATTTTACATGATTGTGACAATGTGAGCATCCAATAATTTTATATCAGTTTAGTACGTAAGTATTCTTCACATGAATATTTCATGAATGTTTTTTTTTAACAGCATTCATTACTTAGGATAAAAGGAATCAGAATATCAAACTCTTAATTTATAGATCCAAAATATACCCGACATAAATGTTAGCGCTTTCTTCTGACGTAAGTTACCTACTTTGAATTTAATGTTATATAATCAGTTTAAATTTTCACTATAAAACAATTAATCTATTATTTTATTTCTATAAATTCAATCAGTGATTAACTTTTAGAAAGTTATGATCGAACATTTAAATATTTATGAACATAATCAGAACAACTTTTATATTTTTATATCTTATTTAACTTATTTCAGTGGTATATATATTTAGTATTGCATTACCTAATTCTTTTAAAATTTCATAATAACTTATTTATTTAATTCTTAGGATTTTATATTAAAATTCGAACATATCTGATAACATTTTAATACAATCAACTCTACCTTGAATCATATATGTGATGTGATGAAAAAAAATCAAAGATTGGAAAAATCAGATCTTCCAGTGAAGATAAATGATCAAAATGACAAATAATTACCATAATGCCTAAAATACTAGGGTCTAATACAAAAATGCCTACTCTTAAAAAACTTATAAAATAACCATGAGTATTTTGATCAGTGGCGCGTATATTGTATTGAGAGTATTTGGTATAAACATGCATATTTAATGGAAAAATTCCTGAGCGAAGAATTTTTCAATACATTGATATTTGGATAAATTCATATAATAACTTGCGGCGTGACGATAATATTCTTATTAAAATGTATCATCCATCATATTTCATAACACTCATAGAAAAAAATATTTTTTTTGAATTTATTTTCTTTGCATT